CCGCAGGGGAGTTCCCAACCCGCTTCTCGTTTTCCTCCTCTAGTTTTGGGAAGTGATAAGTGATGAGCACGGCATTGACCCAGCCGGAGGCTATGTCGGTGACTCAGCGTTGCAGCTGGAAAGGATCAATGTCTACTATAATGAATCATCTTGTAAGTGCGGGCTGGGGAGGGGTGTGGGACTCCGTGGAAGGGGACGGAGAAACTTGGGAGAGAGCGAGTTTGTGAAGCTGTGTTGCGTTATCTGTCTGGTCACCCCCCGTACGTGCCATCAGCCTCCCAGCTGATCCCAGCTCACCTCGTTATACACAAAAAAGATTACCTACTTTTTTAATGAACCGATAACTGGGCGTTATCTCCCCAGGTAGAGTGAAATGGCACAAGGGATTGTCCTTAGAGTCTGGAGGTGGAGGTTTGTTTATTATGTAACACTCTGCTAGGTGTTTGTTCTTTTAACGTATGATTATTTCATCAGATGTGTCTTATCAATTGCCAAATCAAACTTGGTTATATGAGCCAGCATGTGTGGTACCCTGTCTCTGATTTCATGATTGAGAGGGTTGGGCCCTAGGTGATGGAGAACTTGATGGTGATTCGTTAATAAGATGCCAAAGGTGCCCAAATCCTCTCAGTCAGTCTGGTGTTGAAGGGTGTTAACAATGTAAAATGGGGATCATGAGTCCTTTGGTCTATTGACATGAACCTGCAAGTGAGAATGTTTCATCTTTTGTCCAGCTCAAGTTAATTAATATTACTTACCTGAGTTTCCTTGAACAATTTCAGCTGGATAGATTCTTTACTTTGTGCTTTGTGCTAGGTATGCTAGTTTACTGCTGTTTGCCACCTGCACCAAGTAGCTTTTTTGGTGGAAGTGACTCCTGCAAGCATAAAAGCTTGTGAGATGTGTTAGGATCATTTCAATGTGAATGCTTCACTCTGTCTCCTTATTCTCAGAAAAGATTATCTACTTTCTTAAAAAGAAGATGTCAACTTTTTTTTTAACCTAATCAGAAACGCCCCTCCTTCATCTCTATTGCTCAAAAAGTTTATAAAATATAATATACCATCTGTAAGACCCAAAAGATGTCAGGTCTGTTTTTTGAGCAGAACTCATTTGTTCCTATTGTCCAAGCACAAATATAAGCTGGAGAGAGAGCAGATTGGGAGCAGCCCTGAGGAGAAGGTCTTGGGTGTGTTAGTTGAGCAGAGGCTCAACATGGACTGGCAGTGTGCACTTGCAGCCCAAAAAGCGAACCATGTCCTGGGCTACATCAAAAAGAGGTGTGACCAGCAGGTCGAGTGAGGTAATTTTCCCCCTCTGCTCTGCTCTGGTGAGGCCCCACCTGTGCCCAGTTCTGGAGCCCATAGTACAAAAAGGACATGGATCTGCTGGAGTGGGTCCAGAGGAGGGCCATGAAGATGACTAGAGGGCTGGAGAACCTCTGCTATGAGGACAGGCCGAGGGAGCTGGGATTATTCAGCTTGGAGAAGAGAAGGCTCTGGGGTGACTTAATAGCGGCCTGCCAATACATGAAAGGTGCCTACAGGAAAGCTGAAGAAGGGCTTTTTACAAGGGCCTGTAGTGATAGGGCAAGAGGCAATGGCCTGAAACTCCCAAGAAGGGCGGTTTAGATGAGATACAAGGAAAAAATTCTACCACGAGAGTGGTGAAGCACTTGAACAGGTTGCCCAGAGAAGTTGTGGATGCCCCATCCCTGGAAATGTTCAAGGCTAAGGTGGATGGGGGTTTGAGCAACCTGGTCTAGTGGGAGAGAGGTGTCCCTGCCCACAGCAGGGAGTTGGAACTAGATGATCTTCAAGGTCCCATCCAACCTTAAATGTTCTATGATTCTGTGCTGGGTTTTTTTTCACCACCATGACTTCTTGTAGAGGAAGTATTTATAATGTACCATCTATGTGAGACTAATAATATGAGATACCATGTATTTGTGTATTGAAGGTTATAACCTTATTAGCTTATTTTGAAACATAAATGACATGCTTACCTTTTCTTGTAGCCCAGAAATTTGTACCAAGAGCAGTCTTGGTGGATTTGGAGCCAGGAACCATGGATAGTGTGCGATCTGGTCCTTTTGGTCAGCTCTTTCGGCCTGATAATTTCATCTTTGGTATGTGGATGTCACTTTTTAAAAATAACAGATCTATCCAACAGGTGTTTGATTACCAAGTGAATGGTCAAAAAGCATTTGATCTCACTGTTACGAAGTGATTCTTAGTACTGAGAAATCCTCATAGCTTAACAATGCCATTGCAATTATCTGAAAGTCAGTTAGAAGACTGTTAACTGAAAAAGTCATTCTTTGTTAATCATTTCTTCAGTTAGCAAACCACTGAAAATTTCCAATGGTATTCAGATAAAGTACATTTGCTTTCCATACATATGAGCCCTAGAGAAATCCTGAGACTACTTTACAACAAAATGCATGGAAATTCTGCAGAAAATGGAGAGGAGGGAAAAACCCCCTAAAACCACAAGCCAAGCACTTTGAATTTGTGTTAAATGCTTGAACATTCAATTGTTTTGTAGGCTGCATAATTCAACTTTTACAGTGTAGTAAACAGGGGAGGAAGATGAACTGTAATACAGAAAACATTGTCATATATAGCCAGTTACTGAGTTATTTTTCCAACATAACAAGGAACCGTCTGAATGTGTGTGAGGAACTTCTGGTTTTGCACTGTTCTTATGGAGTGTTGTTCTAGCATTTACTGTTTCACTTTGGACTTCTGTAGTACTTTCTGTCTAAGCTTAAAAATGTGCATTACCAGAATTAAATTGCATAGTGTCCTTACACACTGTAGAAGCATAATGATCCCTTTGCACTAAAGGAGAAGCAGTGTGTGAAAGTTAAGGGATCCAGTTACTGAAACAAGAAGTCTGAATGAAAGCTACTGTGAGAACTCTTGTGTCCTTTCGGTTTCAAAGTCTGCACTAGCCACAAAATACATTTCCTCCTGCCACGGCAAGCTTAGGGTGCAACTTAGTTTGGTATCTTGTGTTAACATAAGGAGGGAACAGTGCCAGGGACAGACAGAGAAAAGATAAACATTGTTTGGGTGGTATAAAACACACTGAACTCTGGGTTGTTGCTGTTGAGGTGGGGAGTAAGAACCATCTAACTGATTTAAAACTTTCCATGCTGTCCCTGTTGTCTTCCTGTATGTTCCATGGCAGTGCTGTTAAAGGTCTCTTTCAAAGGAACTTTAAGTTACAGTGTGTAGATGTAAGCTTGGGGAGAAAAGCTGTAGACACAGGCAACTTCATGAAGTATGTTTCTGTAATCAGGTTTCTCCGTTCACTCCCTTTCTCCTGCATGGACCATGCTAGCCCTCTAAAAGTGAATTCAGTTGTCCTATGGAAATACTTGAACTGGAGCTCTACAGTTTGGCATGCCACCGCTAAAACCAGAGCAAAATCAACTCAGAGTGTCTTCAACAATAGTCCAGTTCACTGTACTCCCTTCCTGCCAAGCTAACAATGAACCAACAGCATGTGATCATCTGGTATCTGACAGAGGCCCCTGCCAGCATCAGGCACTGCCCTCCCAGCCTGCTGAATAATGCAGAATGGCTGCTTGAGCGCTGAAGTAATAATCTTCTATGTCAAAAGCCAACAAAGCGTTTTGTTTTCTCTTTTAAAAATCTGGCCTGAGCCCACAAAGGATTTTGTGGCAGAAGCTGGCAGTTCCATACTTGCTGTACCCCAGGCTGTTAGGGCTCATTCTAGTGGAGATGTGAGCCTCTGCTTACACACTTGCAGGTGCTCATGTCTCCATAGCAAGTAACTGTGAACTATTAATCAGGATTTCATTCAGGTGTATCGAGTACACGATGACACACTCAGATACAGGAATTTCAGCTCAGACCAAGAGGAGATAGAGATGGACACGAAAACAGTCCTTATGCTTTAATGCTTGGGTTGATAAGGTAGTGGTTTAAAAGGTGAAGAAGTGCAGGTGGAATGACTTTGCTGCATGAGAGCGGCAGATCTCCTGATCTTCTAGCAGCATACGATTGCCTACCAGGAACTCCTGTGAAATCTGATGTATCTCCTCATGTTAACCAGTTTTCATTTGTACATTTTTGCTTTTGTCATTCTTCTCTTATGTACACTCATGCTAGCTTTGCATAGATACCACCACAGTTCAGAAAACTGTTAGCCAGCCAGTCAAAGGAGATGTCCTTCCTTCTCTAAGACGTACCATGTGTTCTGCTGTCCATACAGGGTTTCTAAAAATTAGTGCTCAAGCTGCTGATCTCTCTTGACAGGTTTGCCTTTTATTTCAAACAGTGAAAGGAAGAAAGGAATGAAAGAAGATTGCAGGAAATTTTGGGGATTAAATATAAATTGACCATTATTAGACAAATGTCTTCTGTGTGTGTGAAGTTCAGCCTGAGCGTGTGTGATAACCCTACAACATATTGGAGAAGGAAGTAGTGGTAGAATGATCTGGAGGTACCGAGAGTGCAGATAAGTTGTGGGATTGCTTTGTGTAGACTTCCTTTAGATCTCGGTAAATGCACAATGAGAAAAGCCAGAGGCAGGATGCTAGAGATGGGCTGCATACATGCAGAGCTTCCAGGATTGCCAAAGATTAGCCGAGTCCTGACTTTTGTGGATACAGGCTCATTTTCCACCTATAGATCTAGTCCTGGTGGAGTTTGATAATTTTATCTGTTTGTCTAGGATTTTCTGAGGTTTATTTGATACCTGATAAGTGGAGGGCATTTAGTAGGATTTCACAGGATAGTGATCAAGATTTCTAGGTGTGTTGCAGCCTTGTCAGAGCCATGACACCTCCAGACTGTGCTGTATTGTCATGGGTAAGAAGTCTGGAGCTTTCAGGGTTTATTGTACATGTTCTGGGTGGTGGTGGTGGTCTTACAGTGCTCTAGAGCCAGTGGGCCTGGAAGTGTGAGATTACTGGGCATATATGGAGGTTGGATTAAATGATCTCTAAGGTCCCTTCCAGCCTAGGCCATTCTATGATTCTGTGATTGGAATGAAAATGGTGGAGACTTTAGGCAGCTGGCTGACTAGAGGACAGGAGTAGCTGGTAGCTGTAGGCTGGAGGGAAGCTGTTAGAATTGGTGTTGGCAGCTTCTCTTCGGTTTAAATATGAAGTTCATATAAGTGCAATAGAGACAAGTGGCATCAGGAGTTTGTGTGATTCAACTTAAGACTGAGGGAGTCAAGCACAGTGGAGGGCCCAAGGACAGGTCTGTGTCTGTATTAGGTGTTTTACTTCCAAACTCTATCTGTGAACTAAGCAAAAGCGAGTAAAATCAGTCTCTGCTGGTTATTTTTTCCCCATGGAAATATCTCTTCAACATTTCTGATGTTAATTCCTGTTTTCCCCTTACCTTGTTCTTTGTTCCTATTTTCATTCTCTCCTATTCTCCATTCTCTCCTTATCTCACTGCCCACTGAAGAAGGATGATATGATGTTTACGCAAGGGACAATCTGCAAAATAAAGACCTAAACTCAGCATTTGTCTTTGTTAGGATCCTTCTATATCTTGGAGTGATGCCTGCTTGTTAGTATGCAGCCCGATGTGCTGCCCTAGCTGTAGGAAGGGATCTGCTCATGCAGACTACAGACGGTTACAAGCATACTTAATTCTGGAAGGACATTACTTTGTGCTTTGCCTAGCTGGACGGGAAGTGCTGAGCTCCCTAGGTTCAAGGAAAGGAAAATATAGCAATAAAGAGAACAATGCATTAACTAACCAAATGCATCATGGGGATGCCAAGTATTTATGCAGTGAAAATAAAGCATGTTGTATTTAAACAATATCCCAACAATCATTTTCCCTGATTCATGTGTTTGGTATTACACAGTGCACTTGAAATGAGACATGGTAATAGGAAGGAAGAGGAAGGTCTTGGAGAGCAACACAAAAGTTGACAGCTCTATACCTATTTGTGGAACAATGACTCTTTCTGAATACCACTTAGTTACTACTTAATTGCCACCTAAGTGAATTCAGTGGCACAGTGTATGTATGTAGCAGTGACAGTGAGGAACAGGAGTATTAAAAAAAATGGTCCCTATTTACTCTTCCTTGTTATCTAAGTAATAATAAAAGAGTGATAGAGCAAAGGATCCAGACTGTTCCTCTTGATAAACTGAGTAGCACATAAAAGGAAGCCTTGAGAAAATAAGGAAAGCGTGAAAAATCAGTAATACAATTTTGCAAGTTGCTTTGCAAATCCTGAAGAACAGTGGATTTGTATGGAAGCCAGTAAAAGCTGAAAGGCACTTAACAACTTCCAAGTTTTTGAAATAATCTTGAAGCTTTTGTGATCAGTATTTTCATGCAGGCTAGGTAACTATGAATTTAGAAAGTTACAGTTCTCAATATATCAAGTTAAACAGGACATCTGAAGCTAAGCCTTATACTTGAATGACAATGCCTCTGTGTCTCACAGGAACAATCCAAGAGCTTTTAATTTAAAAGCCGGTATCTGTGATTTAACTTTTTCTACATCGTGGTCTTTATAAACAGAAAGTATATAAATATTAATCAGTGGTCTTGTGTTTATGGAATAAGCAGGACTGGGAGTGTGGAAGCTTTCAAAGCAAGGAGTCAAAGCCATCTTTACATTTATAGAGGATTAAATAAAAAAGAAGAAAAAAATAACCCACACCCAAAGGCATAAATGGAAACTACTAGGGATTTGAGGCAAAAGGAAGCCATAAGAAAAATTATGTTGGTACTTACCAAGATATTTGTAGGCAAAACTGAAGAACAGTTATCTACCTGACAGACTTACAGCAGCTTTTGTTACAGATGTGAATCTATTTAGCATGAAAATACCAAACCTTACCAATAATTTTGTGTATTTTATTTCCCTATTTTGTGTTATTTTAGGACAAACTGGTGCAGGAAACAACTGGGCTAAAGGACACTATACTGAAGGGGCAGAGTTGGTTGACTCTGTACTTGATGTAGTAAGAAAAGAGTGTGAACACTGTGATTGTTTGCAAGGATTTCAGCTCACTCATTCCCTGGGAGGAGGGACAGGGTCTGGCATGGGAACCCTACTCATCAGCAAGATACGAGAGGAATATCCAGACAGGATAATGAATACCTTTAGTGTCATGCCCTCTCCAAAGGTTTCTGATACAGTGGTGGAGCCTTATAATGCTACACTGTCAGTCCACCAACTGGTTGAAAATACAGATGAAACCTACTGCATTGACAATGAAGCTTTGTATGACATTTGCTTCCGCACCCTGAAGCTCACTACTCCAACATACGGTGATTTAAACCACTTGGTCTCTGCTACCATGAGTGGGGTAACTACATCCCTACGTTTTCCAGGCCAACTAAACGCTGACCTCCGGAAGCTGGCAGTAAATATGGTCCCTTTCCCACGCCTTCACTTTTTCATGCCTGGCTTCGCTCCTTTGACAGCCCGAGGCAGCCAACAATACCGAGCACTCACTGTTCCAGAGCTCACCCAGCAGATGTTTGATGCCAAAAATATGATGGCAGCCTGTGACCCAAGACATGGGCGATACTTGACAGTGGCTACCGTCTTCCGTGGTCCCATGTCCATGAAGGAGGTGGATGAGCAGATGTTGGCCATCCAGAACAAGAACAGCAGTTACTTTGTGGAGTGGATCCCAAACAATGTCAAGGTGGCAGTGTGTGACATACCTCCTCGTGGCCTCAAGATGGCTTCCACGTTCATTGGCAACAGTACTGCTATCCAAGAGCTCTTCAAAAGGATCTCAGAGCAGTTTTCGGCAATGTTCAGGAGAAAAGCCTTCCTCCACTGGTTCACAGGAGAAGGAATGGATGAAATGGAATTTACAGAAGCAGAGAGCAACATGAATGATCTGGTTTCAGAGTATCAGCAATATCAAGAAGCAACAGCAAATGATGGAGAGGAAGCATTTGAAGATGATGAAGAAGAAATCAATGAATAAAGAAATTAGGCATGCTGTTTTCCAGGCCAAATTCTCAGATCTGGATTTCTGATAATTAAGTTTATAAATCTATATTTAGGCCTAAAAAACCTCCACAACTAAAAACAGGAGCACGAGCCTCAGATATTAGAGGTGCTCTTTCAGCATTTCTTCTGTTTTGATCACTGAGAATTGAGGACATTTAGCATTTCTGGAAATCAGGCCATTTCTATTCATGAGACAAATGTAAGGCATTCAGTTAAGACTGGGATCTTTTTCATCCCTGAAGTTGTTCAAGAGAAGATGTAAAATAGGTATGAAGATCTACAAAATAGAGCTGTGCTATTTCAATCCAGTTATGACTAAGAAAATGTTGTGGGATTCAAGTATTTGTTCTGTACTGAATGTACAATACTGAACTGCTAGGAACAAAATTTATTCATAATAAAAAAAAGCTACTTAGCTGTTCTGTACAGTAACTACTAACAGTGATATTTGACTCCAGTCCTCTGAAAATGAAATAAAAAATTTTAGCATCCTCTCAAGCAAAAGCGTTTTGAACAGTCAATGCTATATAAATATCCAGTGAGCTGCAGGCCGGAGGCTGGATTTATGCTATGTGACTTCATCACTTGCTTGTGAATAATCACAGATTTTATGGTTAAAATCTGTCCATTTGTGATGTGTTCTTTAAGGACCATTGCAGTTGAAAGTAGCATTCCAATACCTTGCTGGTCCCCTGCTTTTAAGGCTATTACTAGTAACCAGTGCTAGTCCTATCTCCCTTCCGGCTGGCCCATATAGATGAAATTCAGATACTTCACAGAGCATGGTGGGGGAGGGTCATTGGCTGTGTGTCAATAGATCTCACTATGTTGATTTGTAAGTTCACCACACCCATAGGTGCTATGGATGTCTTGTTACCAAGATAGTTTAAAATCATTGGACAGATTGAAGTACAAAGAAAAATACCCACAATATGCAAAACAGCTGACAAAATGATGAAGAATGGTTTATTTGCCTACGCTAAAGTTGAAACAGAAAGATTTCTGTCCTACCCGGCTGACTTATGCCTCGACAAAATTAGTGTTGGGCATTTGTTCTTTGTGCGTGCTTTATGCTTTTGCTCATATCAATTAAACAACGCTTCTCCATTAGAGAGCCTCTACCCGAGAACACTCTGTCTACGTGGAGTCTCATACTTAGGTCAGTTTCTAGGCAACAAAACAAGCAAATAAAGGAGAAACTCTCTGGAAATCCAAACTTTAAATGATTTGGGAATTATGCTCTTTTTATTTTTGCCTTCAGAAGCACTAAGCAAACGTGTTGCCCAGTACTTAAAAAGGCACTTTGCGAACATAATGTAATTTCTAGAGATCCATAGCTCCGAACAAGATGATGTTTTGTTAATTTGGGATTTAGGGAGTGTGACAGTATTTTATGAAGTACATGAACCAGGCAACTGTTTAATGACATAAGCTGAAGCTGTCTGCCCAACTTTAATCTATGCAGAAGTGGAACTAAACTAGTTTTAAACAAGTACAAGTTTTTCATAAAAAGTGACTTCATGGGTTGCAACAGTCAGACCCTACTAAGCAAACTGGCTTTGGTGTAGGTGCATGGGCAGAGATTGGGCGGGCCTGGCTGATTGTCTTCTGAGGGGTCATGGGGGGAGTCAGCAAATTCACAGGAGCCACGTTCTTTGTGATGGCTGGTGAGGCCTAAAGGATTTATGAACAGCAATAGAGCACCTTTAAATATGCATTTTATAAATGTTGCAGTATGTTGTAGCTGTGTATTTATCATGGCATGAGATTAAGCTAAACCACAGTATTATTTAAAGAAAAATTAACATTTGGTGCAATACAAAGCAAAATCCCTGTGGAATAAAGCTTAGAAGTTTAGTTGATGCTTTGTAAACAGCAGGCTATTAGCTTCAAGAGGGAGGAGAATGTTTTATGGGTTCAGAGCCTGCCATCATACGGCTGTGGCACAGACTTCTCAATTAAAGCACTAGCATAGCTTCCGAAGGTAGGACCAACCACGTTACAGTTAGTGGAACGTCACGATTCTGTTGTAATACAGAATTTTTATCTTGGTTCCAGATGCAAATTCTGAAATTACTGGGAAAAAAAAAAAGTTATCACTTTAAAAATGCCAGGAATCTTGAGAGTTCCTCAATAACTGAGTTATTCACTTGGTGAACCAGCCTGTTCTGTAATGCTTTTCATACACTGACTCAGAATCCAGCACACAGACTCTCACCATGTGGAATTCAGACCTAACAACGCCCTCTGATCCTGCTCGGACTCCTAGCCTCTCTTTGCATGTGTTTACTTGCAAGTGTTTGATGTGAACTTCTAGAACGTGAGGAGGTGGAGGAGGCAAACTAAGGCCCTGTTTATTAAAAAAAGGAGATGGATTTGCTATCTGATCTTAGGGGTAAACCCCCAATCCACTGAAATGAACCCAGGAACCTGTAGCAGGAGTATCATCAGAGGACCAGCTTGCACTCAAGCAGTAAGAAAGCCACAGGAAGCACGAATGCGTCTTGTTCCTCTTCAGTCAACCAATTCTGATGATCTTCCTTTCCTTGTTTAAGAGTAAATATTGTTTTGGTAACAGGTTTGATGAACAATTCCTTCAGTTGCACTTCCTTTCAAGTAAGTTTCTGCTTTTTTCCTAGGAAACTTCACTTTTATTTTGAAGTCTAACTGCTAATTCTCACCTAGCTTGTTCCTTTTCTTTTCATGTTCCTCACCCATGTGTTTTTCATTTTCTCCTTAGATTTTGAACCTCATCTCTTGCACCTTTTCTTTCTGTGCCTAGCTCACCTTCCTTTTTTCTCCTTTTTACTGCTTGTTGCATGAAAGGTACATGGTGGTGGGAGGCACATACCTGAGCTAAAGGCTTGCCTGTTTCAGAGCCCCGTTAAGGTCTTGCACTGAGACAGTTTACAAAATATCAACGAATAGGTGATTTATTAAAGCGACAGATACAACATATTGGGGATTGCCATTGATAAATTCACTCGCTGCAATAGTGCTAATATATAAAATAAAATGCTAATAATAGTGCTAGTATATAATAATAATGGTAGCAAAATACTACCCTGGATATTTCTCACCAAAAGGTGAAAGGGTCTTGGGTAAAGTAGAAGCAGCACAGCCCATCAGCTGCCTCTTCTGGGTTTGTTCTCTTCCCCCAGTGATACACTCTCCATATTTGTTATACACTAACCTTATCTATCTCCCCTCCCTGGGGTGACATTTGGCATGATTTGGGTGGAGACTTGGGGACCATAGTCATAGATGTTTAGCATGCACTTCTCTAGGCTCATTAGCATACTCAAGGGTGTCAACTTTAATATGTGTATTAGGGACAATGAAGCAAAAAGGGGTGACCTCATTAATGTTTATTTAAGGAGTGTCAGGAGGATGGAGCTAGGCTCTTAGGCACATGCAATGATAGGACAATGGGCAACAGGTGCAAGCTGGATCATAGGAGGTTCCACAAAAACATTAGCAAACCCTGTTCCACTGTGAGGATGACAGATTGCTGGAACAGGCTGCCCAGGGAAGTTGTGGAGTCTCCTTCTCTGGAGACATTCAAAACCTGCCTGGACGTGTTCCTGTGTGACCTACTGTAGGTGACCCTGCTCTGGCAGGGGGGCTGGACTAGATGATCTTTTGAGGTCCCTTCCAACCCCTGACATTCTGTGATTCTGTGAAAAAGTTACACTCTAGGCACCGTAGCCTTCAGAATTCTGTTCTGAAGCAACTTACCTGCTTTCAGAATGGTGTCGGTATCATTAGTCTCTGTCCCCATTCTTTAGCCAAAACAGGGCTGTCCTGGCACCACAGGACTCCCTCCTTCAGCTGGTTCTCACTGTGCAGGCCTTATTGGTCTCCATCCACAGTGTCTGCACAACAGATAAGCAGACACCTGCATTCTGCAAGTCTCAGTTCCTCAGGTTAAAACGTCACACTGCTTTGCGACTGGCCCCAGAGAAATACACAAAAGAAAGCTGCCAGGACAAGCCAGACCTAAGAAGGCCCCGAAGTACAGCTCCCAGTACTGCCCAGACACAAACATGTCTGTCAACACAAAAAACAGCACTCTACACCCACTTCAGAACATGGAGTGTGCAAGGTGTGCTATGGAAAGAAGTGGTATCAGGACAGTTTCTATACAGGTTTGTTCTGATTTCAAAATCCTACCCCAGTCAAATTCTGTCTCTGTTGGTACAAAATATTACGACTTACTGAGGTAAGGCTACACAAAGCAAGTTAATGCTCTAAAATAATGACAAAGGGACTTGCCTCTTCTTTACGTTACCATACACTTAGCAACTGCATGCCACAGTTAAACAAGAGTGAAATTTAGAGGTAGACGGCACAAACATTTTCAGGAAAGGAGATGATTCTTTTACAGTTGTGCCACTGTGAAGAGTTAGGCAAGGTTTTGAGGTTTGGATTTTTTTTTTTTGCAGGGGTGGGGAGGTTGGTTGGTTGTGGTCTGTGTTTTTTCATTGTTGGTGTTTATTATTTTTTTAATTACAGAATGAGGAAAAGCAGAATTCTGACCTTTACGACATAGGTACATTGAAACCTCAGCACTGGTTACAAATTGCCGATTCCAAACAAGAAGTGTTCAGCTCAAGGGGGTGGGGAGAACAGAACAAAGCATTAATACCTTTAAAGTACAGCACTAGAGCACACAACGAGACATCAGCTACTACCCTACTATGTGTGCAGAAATTAAGTTTTAAAAACCAACATTTACTACTGCAATAAATAATTCTAAAAACTTTTACTCCAATAATAAAGGAACTGAAGTTTAGTTTTACTTGGGAAGCTTTCCAGTTAATCATTCTACAATGAATCCAATAGGAATACACAGGACAAGCTTTGTTCAGAAAAGTACTGATTTTATTGACTCAAACTGTATTTACACAACACATTCATACGTTCAATATCTTACAGAACTCTGTAAAAAACTGACTAATAAAACTGCAGGAGCCAAACTGAGTCTGAGACTTAAAGACACTGAGCCATGAGTACCTTTTAAGATACTGAAGCAGGTGTCAACTTATATGGCAGTTCTCTGTAGACAAATTCTAAAATCAAAATGGAAGGTGGAGAGGAAAAGGGTCAGATGAAAGAGCCGGTAGTTTTGCAAAGCTAGTACTTTGTAAGACCAGACTTTTGGCTAAGCATTCAACAATGCATTTTGTATGATTCTTTTTTTGGAGAGAGGTCACATAC